CTCCCTCCCTCCTCCCTCTTCGCAAGTTCGACTCCGTCCTGTCGTCGCTCTTTGGCATGCGGTTAGCGTTGCGTATCTTGCGGCCGCACTCGCTCACTCTCACTGTCTCACTGTCTCACTGTCTCACTGTCTCTCTCTCTCTCTCATCTCTCTCATCTCTCTCATCTCTCTCATCTCTCTCATCTCTTTCTCATCTCTCTCATCTCTCTCTCCTCTCTCTCTCTCTCCTCTCTGTCTCTCGTCTTTCCGTCTCTCTTCTCTCTCTTCTCTCGCAGGAGGATCCGGGCAAAGAGCCACATATAAAGGACTCTTCACCCCTGCCTCCAAAAAGAGCGCCGTGTTTTTTCCTACCTCGCTGCCCTCCACTTTCCCATTCTGGAGCGCTAGCTTTCGCCCCCCCCCTTGGCCTCAAGTTGTTGTTTTCAGGCGGATATTGGGGAACTTCTTTTGAACAGCATTGTGTTATTTCTATATAATTAGTTCGTTCATGTTTTGATGGAAGCAGTGGATGCAGATGAATGCGGTTCATCCAAGTAGAAAGTCATTCTCCCAATCATGAATTTCACCCATCACACTAGCTGGCGTGATGCGGTTGCATCGGAAAGTCTCAAGGTCAGCTGACTGTGAAGTCTGTGAAGCTGGTGGTCATTGGCTCGCATATGGGAAGCAACATGGAACCCCTGTCCTTGGTGGAAGCCTGCCTCAAGAAGGCCTCAGTGACGCCTGTCATGCAGTTTGGGGCTCTGGACTCTGACGGATTCAAGCGCTGCGAAAGAGCTTGGTGCGAAATCTCTTTCGGTGCAGATGTCACCCCCGGCGGAAGAGGGGTTCGTGTGGTGGCATGCGGTGGGATGTGTATGTTTAGTCAATAGAGTTGCTTTAAACATGTTCATGTTGTTTGATCAATAGATCTATATACATTATGATCTATTAGTTTGATCTACTGAAGTTATAATATGAAACGGGTCACAGAGATTGGTGATGGACATTGGGAGAAGACTCGTATCCCAACTTCCGGCGGTTTTTCATGCCAAGCGCTAGGTCCAAACGAAATACGATGGGTGGTGGTTGATTTGCATTTTGTTCAGTGTATTTCACACATCAAGTCATTTCCAACGCAGCACTACATGCAAACCGTGCTGGGTCAATCTAGGAGCCATGGAAATCACAAAAGAAAAAGAAGGGGTACAGTAAGAGGGTTGAGAGTGGCCCGGTGTTTTGTGGGGCGGAATCGATCAGATCGATCCGCGGTCGATCTGGGAACCGTGTGCAGTATTTCTTCTCAGCTCCGAACCGTGGGGGTTTGGTGAGATGTTTGCAGGTTGTGAGAAATTTGGTGGCCCCTTTTTGCGGCACAAGCATGCTAACCGGCCACCACTTGACCACTCTGGACTAGCGGAAACGAGTGGTTTGCTTTTGTTAAAGGATGTGAAGTCGAGTTGAGAGCTCTAAAGGGCGTGTGCTGAGCAGCATGGCGTTGGCGCTCTCGCGCGCCCACAACCATCACGGAGCGAGTCCTAGGACTGTGGACACCACGGTGCTCGGGACCACCTACCCTTTTCCAGAGATCATGTGCGAATCCTTTGGCCATTGCGCCAAGCAAGTCCACCTAGACCAGGCAGTTCGACTGCTGGTACAGCAGATGTACCGACCTACATGGGAGCCGGCACAGTTGCTGGACTTGCTGTCGAAGGGCTTGCAAGACGCTGAAGCTTGATTTGACACCGGACCGTGTGTTTTTCGTAAAGGTTTGCTTTCTTGATCTTTCTTGGAGTGTGTTTTTGTGCGCCAGAGGGCAGGGGCCAAACACTGCCTATAGTATAATGGCTCCATCCAAGAAATCCAGACACGAAGAATCGTATGGATTAAACAATTAGTTGTCTATTGCTTGGATTTCTCGCTGGAATGCCATTCCGAAGAATCTGAAGATTGATCTCAAGATACTTGGATTGAGTTGATGTGTTGCTTTCCTGGCGCGAAAGCCGTGGCTGCCATGGCAGGATGTAGCACTGGAGGATCGTAGACGTAGACATATCTAAATTCATAAACGAGTCAAGGGAGGCAGGAATGACAGACCAGTTCACTGGGACCACCTAAGTGCCCAGCAACAATGAGAGCTTTTTTTGCCACTTCTCCGGTGACGCAAAACCTTGAACCATTCCGAAACAGGAGATCTTGCATAATATAACAACTCGTTTTCAGCAGCTTGGGGTCATCCCCAAAAAAAACATCTGCAACGCTTTCCTGCTACCAAAGAGACGGGTCTTGAAGACGAATTCATTTGTATGTCTATATCTACTTACTTCCAGGGAGCCTCCTGCAGCCTTACTCTTAGCGACCGAGGCATTGATTCAGTCGGACTTACTGCTTTGTGCACAGCCGATGGCCTTGTGTTCCTTCTTGCGTAGTCTCACCGAGAAGCCCATCCTGCTTCTCTGAGCCAATCGCGGGGGGCGGCAGCCGGCACTGGTGAGGGTGGTGTTTGTTCTGAGAAGATCAACGACCCTTCGGTTCCCCCCGAGGTGGGGCATCCACTTTTGGGGTGTGACCCAATTTGGGTTTTGTATGTTGCCAAAGGAATCCTCTAAAGGGGTTGACTGGGATCATACAGTGGGTCCTCCGTGGGTCTCCCTATTTTTATACACACCCATTTATGGCTCCTCTTGAGGATGCCCACACACGAATCCCCGCAGACTTGAGTGGATCCGGCTCCGACTTTGCACCGCGCGAGCGCATTCAATGAGGTGTTCGCAGCTTCCGAAAACCGTTCCAGCTGGCTGGGAAGCCGGGCCATGTTTTGTTCACTAGATCTGGGCCCAGCTCAAGCGCTATGGAGCGCCTTTTTGGTGCAACGATGTCCAGCGCACCTTTTCATATTTGATGAAGTCAAACAGGGAGGGGTGGAATCCCCGGCCACCGGAATTGACCCGAAAGAAACCTATACACCAACTGCTTACTTTCTATTAGAGATCGCTGGTCGAGGGGGTAGATTTCGCCGGAACGGTGATGAAAGGGGATTAGTATCAGGGAGGGAGACTTTAGTATTGAAGGGTCACAAAAAAGTAAAGAATCGAAAGGCCCAAGCCCAAGCACTACGTACAGGAAAACAAACTGAAGGAAAATAGTGAAGGAATACAAAGAAGGAACCAAAACATAAAGAAATAACAGTTCCAAAGACTAAATAAAGCTAGATGAATTTTGAGCCAGCGAACAACTTAACCTTATTTAGGGCACAATTTATCTAGGGTTTGGTGGCTTCACGAGGGTACCTTTCCAGATTGATTCTTTTTGCAAGTTGATAGTTTCTTGAGTAAGGTAACCAGGTATTTAGAAAGAGTTTTTGCCAAACGGTTTTTGGATTTTGTTGATTCCAAGTTATGCAAATTCATGCACGCTCCAATAGACACCAATCAAACCATAAAATCATCAAATTTCCCAATGAGACAGCAGTGAACCATGGTGGGCACCAGAGATCTGCTTTCAGAATCAGATAACACTATCTTAGTGAGAAGTACATTCCTGGACCCTCCAACAGGTGTTTCCTGGTGACAACAGGTGCCCAGAAACCACCTGTTAGGCTTCTAAAACCACCTGTTGGAAGGTCCTGGTTCATTCAAATTTCAGTGGACACCAATCAAAAATGAATAGCGTCATCAAATCCGATTGGAAAATCAATCATGGGCATCAGACATCTGCTGAACCAAACGAGCAACAAAGTAAGATTTCATGGGAAGCAACTGCAACACAGAGTATTGAAAGAGGAAATCGGGAAAATGATTATATAGCTAATATTGAGGGTCGACATTATGTGTTGAACATGAACCAAACAACCCTATAGGCCTATAGGTCACATGTGTTGGTCCGGAGTGTCGGGAAACGTGTCTTTTTTGGATCTGGAGCTTCCCACCTCAAATCATAGAAGAAGGCACCATTCATCTGCGAACATTTGCCCTGGAGGCTCAGTCTTCTGAGAGGTTGAGGGGTTGGTAATTCCTTGGATGCCTTCTCTTTTGCTTGAATAATCTTGAAAGAACGTTTGGCTCAATCAGGCTGTAAGTTCAAGTCCTCACTCAAAGATTCTAGCATATAGCACCGTATATCCAGAAGTGAGGGCATCCACATATTTTTGTTGAACTGACCTTGTTGATCTTCCTGGACCTTCAAGGGGTGTCCTGGCTGGAGGTGGCTGGGGCGAAACCAGCCAGGTGACCCCGCACATGAAGGTGCTGGTTCCTGTTTTATTGGTTGTCTTCTTAAGCCTCAGACCTCCACTCCGCTGGGGCTCAGGCTGTATCAAGCCTTCCCTTTGGTGGGCGCCACACCGATGGCCTATCGACACCTACTCTTGGTGCAGCTTGGCAGCGGTTTCGTGGGAGAGTCGCAGCGGGAGACGTGCGTGCAATGCACGGTCCATGCTGAAGAGAAGACACAGCTGAAGGGTCTGGCTGCAGAAGAGAGTCTGGAACATGACCTCTCACTGTTCTTCCATTGAGTTGGGTTTCACTTTTTCCGAAGAGTTGACTATAGTGAATTCAGGGTTTGGAGTGGGAGGGTCTTCAACCAATGAAGCTTTGTTTGGTTCATGCTTGTTCCTTTGTCCATGTGATTGTCCTGCTCGAGCAAGCGCTTCCGCACCCGACCGCCTGAAGGACTTAGAGCTTGGAGTCTCCAATCGTACCGAGTTAGGAAAAATGGATAGCTGTCTTTGGATACGCTGTTGTACCATGCCCTGAGAGTCAAAGACTATCAACAGAACGGTCTTTAGGTAGCCCGAAAAGGAAGATGCTTAGCACTTCTTTCGGGCAAAATATAGTCTTTGGACTTCTAGGGCATGTTTATACAGGAAGAACGAGTCATGTCCGCCATTTTCCACTTGAAGGAGGGTGCAGGTAGCACGGATTTTTCAAAGGTCATTCTCGCAATATCCCAAGTACCAGCTGGGAAAGGGTGTCCTATCTTTCACCAGCTCGTCAACAAGGGGTCTTGGCGTTCTTTAAGGCCTGGCACTTGAATTGGTGAAGCCTCTCCACTTCCGTGTGGTCCTTTAACCCCTTCTGAGCCCCCTCCATTTGAGCTGCTCCTGTTGGTCTCTTTTCTCCGTGAGAGGCAGCTGCGTGAAGTGCAAGTGGCCAACCCCCGACGCTCCGCTTTGGTGGCCTACTCGGAGTTCCTGGCGCAGCAAGTACAACGACAGACGGGCCAAAGGCCCTTGTGCTTGCGGCCGCACTCTCTGTATGCTCTAGGCGGGCCGCACCCTATGGTTACGGTGCACCCTACAGGGGCGCACCACCCCATGACAAATTGAACTGCTGTATCACTGGATCCTAGAGACCACGCCACAGCGACCAACATCACAGGCGTAGCACCCCATGTTCCAGGTAGAAACCATCGCCGTATAGAAGTCCACGTGAGCGGAGTCTTCTTGGCACGTGAGGCGCCGGCCGCTATCAGCCAGACCGCGAGCACCCGCGCATCCTGCTGGGACGTATGGCTGGCTGGGCACGGAACAGCGCGGGCGCCGCGGTGCGCCTGATCGAGGCACCGGAGGGCGCGCCTCTGGTGGTGGAAAAAAGCATCACGATGTACTGTAGCTGGTGGCCGAATTACCACTGTAGGGTGTGAAAAGCTATTTGGATTGGTGTTTGAACATGGTTTTCTTGTTTCCATGATGGGACGACAGCCGGTACAACATGGGACGACAACCTGTCATGAATCATGAACACACCGTTTGGGAGGAGCATGTGTCGGAGCGAGGGCGCCATGCACAGCCGGTCGTCCGGATCACAGGTCACCACCTGCCACTTTGGGTCCTCTCCATGCCTCAGCCACCCAAACTCGGAGGTTTCGGTGGGGGGGGCTAGTAACTATACCAGCTATCCCAGACAGGACCTGTCTGGGACTGCCTGGCTATGCCGATCAATTGACCCCCAGTCAACCACCCCAATGTGGGCATATATGGCATACATGGAGTGTTTGATCTGGGTATTGTTGATGCTTCGCTCTGATTGTTCACTCGGTCATAGTCATAGTCGCTGTCCGAAGCTGTTCGCAGGCCTTTGCGGAGGACATGCTGCGCCCGGGACAGCTGCGGCTGGTACCTCGCGACCCCAATAACATCTTGGTGTGAGAGTAGCAAGGGTCTGCAGCAAGGGCCCCACTTGGTCGTGCCAATGCTGAAGATCTTGTTTTGGCTGCCCAAACGCTCATTGGACCCTCATAGCTAGCGTTTTGACCCTCACAGCCAGGGTTTTGGACCTCAAACATGTAGCAGTTTGAGCAGTTTGAGGGTCCATGAGCCTTTGGGTGGAGATCTTTTCAAAGAAACTCCGAGACTCCCGTCTCAAAGCTTCTACCTCTCTTTGGGAGGCACCCTGCACCAAAGTTGTAAGATCCCCAGTCAGAGGCTACCAATCTCAGACCATGTCATTTTTGGAGGACTCTATAGACTCTATTGTTCTCCAGTTTGGCATATGAGAAGTTTGGCATATGGCACATGAGGACCACCGAATTCGAACCACCGGCTGCCTGAAGGCAGTTTCACGGACATCTGATCTCGGCGCCAACCCATTGGGACCGAGCTTCGGGCGTCCGGAACCGGGAAGGGCGGCAGATTCTAGAGGTTCCCAAGGTGATTTTCGCTCTCAGGTGTCGAGTCTCAGATTGCTTTCGCTCTTCATCAGCTCAAATCATGATGAACTGCAGGTCGCTCACTTCTTCTTCGCACCTGCCTAAAGCCGAACGAAAGGCGCCTTTCAGCGCGCCGAAACACCGAACCCCTGAGGCCACCGGTCGATTCCGAGGTCTTCTTAGGCCTCCACCGCGAGAGCACCGACCTCGTCGCCGGCCTCAGCCGCCCCTTCGGCTACGCCGAGCTGCGGCGCTACCGCGGCGCCGTCGCTGGGCACACGGATCGATCGAGGCGCAGCACGCCATAAAAGAACCAGATAAAACAAGTAAACAGACACGACCCGTCTGGGGCTGCCATAATAGGACTGCCGATCAATTGGGGTGGTTGACTGGGGGTCAATGTAGGCATATATGGCAGTCCCATGGAGTGTCTGGGATATAGACCTATGGAGAGCCATTTTCTGTAGATGGTGTTTGAAGTTTTGTTGACTCAATGAGATGCAGGCGATATTTTCACGTCAGGGTGGCATTGTGTTGGAGCTTGCGTCCAAACCCTCATGTTCCCTGGCTTGGCTTGCTGCAGAAGTATTTCTTAGCATGGTTTTCCACGGTGTGGCTTGTCGTTCCTCCTGCATCATGGACAAGTGGAATGAGTTGGCATGGAAATGCCATGAAATGCTTGCAAGACTCTTTCAATATGATGTGACGGGTGGGCTTCCCCAGGTCCCAAGCCATCTCTGAATGCTTTGTGAATCATGCCGTTTGTTGAATATGTCAGAGACCACTCTTCTTTGCACGTTTAGATCACACCACCCAAAATGTCATTTGCTTGGTCTGATCAACACGGGAATAGATCTATAGAATTACTCACCTTAAGGTTTTGCCCTGCAACGCTTGGAACCACCAAGGGCCGCCCAAACAACGGAAAAGAATCAAACACCTGCATCGGCCAACGCCCTCACGCGTTTAGCACCCGACCTCTATAGCTCTCATCCCTTGAAGGGACCCCCCCTTTCATGAGGGGTTCGAGTCAGAATCTGTCCTTCTCAGAGGAACCCCCCCCCCCCCAACCCATCCTCCACGCTGGGTACCGAACATCGTCACGCCTTGCGAACGAGCCTGGGACGTGGGACGTGGACGAAAGAGGTCTACTTCCCTTGGGACATGGGGATGCTCCTCTTCAGCGAGTTGTATGCCATTGGAGTCCCACTCTTTTTGCCGGACCGAGCTTGGATCACCTCCATCATCAAGCGTCCCTGAGCTTTGCGGCACGTGGAGTTGAATGACACCTCGGACATGCTTACTACAAGCAAGTGTGTCTCAAAACGGGAGGAACCGACCAAAGAAGCGTTTTGAGAAGAGGTGCACACCAATGGGAAGAGGAAGAGGTGAACACCAAAGATGTTTGGGAAGAGGAGATGATGAACAATTGATTGGAGCTCCCTCCTCATTTGACAGATCGGCTCATACTCTGTCGTGTTTGAGTAAGCACGGAATCACATATGAGCAGGGCAACATCAACCTCGTTGCAAATTGTAGATGACCTGATCACCTGCCAGAAGTGCCAAAGCCGATGTGGATGAACATCCGGATGTTCATCGGAACAATTTATAGGACCAGTGGCTGACAGGCTACAATCGCAAAGGGGGCGGGGCCTTTGTTGCTTTCTTTGCTCCAAAACTCAATCCAGCGAGGTATGTTAGAATACACCGACTTCGGTTGGTGGCAAGCGCGGGAAGATGGCTCCGCGGTGGTCTTGGCCAACTCCACCGCTGACGGAGAATCTCATCGCTTCTGGCCCTGGATGTCGGCGAATTCCACGATGAAGGAGATCTTGGAGTCGCTTTGGAGCAAGCTACTCTCAGGGTCGAGTCGGTTGGAGGAACGAAATTCGGTATGAGGGTTGAAGATCTTGAGTCTCATCGAAGCAAACACTCCTTCGTCTCCATCCCAGGGTTTTCCTAGAATTCTTTGAGTCACATGATGTCACATGTGACTTCGCATGTGGCGCGACCAGACATCGACATGCTTCGAATCCTGTATCATACGGTCCCCGAATCTCGGAGGGGATCAAATCTGTTGGTCTTCAGGTGAGTGATGTTCAATTCGACATCCGACCTTTGGTCCTTGCCATCCCCGACCTTTGGTCACCTTCCCATGGTCCAGGTCTGGCGCACACATGCACATGGAAGCCACGACCTGGGAGGATGCAGGGTCACATGCAGGTTGATGGTCTATGAAGAAGGCACTTTTGCGTTACCCTCCCTCCAACAATCATGCTTAAGTGGACGTTCTGGCCTCCTGGAACACTTCTTTTCCACTACCAACAGGGGATTGTCCACTTCCATGTTTGTTTCCGGGGAGTCGGGAGTGTAACGCAAAAGTGTTTTCGCGCTCGAAACAGAACTCCGACGTTTCTACTGTTCCGTTGACGCACGCAACCCTTTCATAGTCATAATGATGCATGCTGAATTGGTTCCAGCTGACATCTGCTGATGCATACCAGGGCATACCATCTTGGCCTCATGGCGGTTCTTTCACTCCACCAACTCGTCCCAGTTCTTCCCCAGAAAAAAACGCAACATAGAAACACACGCACGCCACGTGGCAACGTCGCCCACGTCGCTCGCCCTGCTCGCCGCACGACTCCCCGAGGCTGTACGACTTGACGGACTTCATCCGATGGTGGGGGCGGCCTTGGACGAACCGGCGTCGGGTGAGTCGGGTGAGTCGGGGACATGTCCCCGTGTCGGGACACAGAACGACATAGACCGGCGTAGATCCGGGTAGATCCGGTGAGCGAAAAAGGGGGATTGGGGGTTTTGGGGTCGTGTTGCTTTTGAGGCAGAGACTGGAATTTCCTGAAATTGGCTGAAGGGATCCAGGTGTCTCAAAGTATATATCCATTTATAAGTGCCCATGATTCTAGTAACAAGGGCATCGCGGCATCGCTACTAGTAACTAATTTACTACAGTGACAAAGAAGCTACCCTTGTTACGAACGTAGCGATGCCCTTGTGACTGGGTCGCCCGTCCTGAGCCGGATCCGCCTCGCCATCGGCAGGCCACACGTGAGCCGCTTCGGCAGCTTCGGCGCGCTGATGGCGCAGCTGCTGGCGGCGGAGTTCGATGCCACCAGCAGCTGGGCGCCACGTTCGATGCGACCCGAGACACGGAGCTTGGAGGGTGTGGATGGTTGGGGCACGAACTGTGCTGTGCGGGCATGGGTGTTGCTGGCTTCAGGTTCTCTGATAGATTCAGCAAGAGCAAGTAGAAACTGCGATGCATTGGATGTGACAGATTTGGTGATGCTGGATTCGGAGCTTTGTAGAAGGATGTAGAAGGCATATACTGTCCCTATAGGCAACATATTTTTAGATGTATGGAAGCTTCATGAGGCTACGAAAGGCTCGTTTGCTGGTGCAGTCACGTTAAGGCACAGTATACGGGTACCGAAACTGAAGTCAAAATGCCAAAAAAGCATTGTATATCCTTGTTCCATGACAGATGTTCCTGGAACGGGGTTGTGTGGATATACATTACACGCACTACATGGTGTTCTGTGTTGGATGAAATGGTGTTCATTTCTCTTCATGCTGTGCCACGTATTTGTAAATTGGAGTCAGTCAGATAATATGTTTGTTCTCTTGAGCCTACATGTCACGTTCATGTGATCACACCAAGAAGTGAAGATTGTTGGTAGAGAACAGAGATGTACCAGATGACCTGGAATAAATAGCTGCGAATCGAGTTGGGTATGGAGGTTTATGGCCTACCAACTCTAAGAAGTTCCCGATCTCACAGGTGTAGTGATTCACATGAGTCATAACTAGGGTAAATACAATTCCAGTCCCCTGGATGGTTGGGATATGATGGATGAGATGATGTCAATTTTCCAAGTTTCTGTGGTATTTGGATCCTTTTTTGGGAAAAAGAAGTCTCTGAGAGATGCAGACTCAGATGAATCCAGGAGCCCCTAGTAGCTTCTTAGCGATGCCAGGAGCCCCTACTAGCTTCTTGTTACTACTAGCTTCTATGCTGCGAGCTCTTAGGTGAGGCGATGTTGCGCTGGAATGATGCCAGCTTGCCCTGGTCACTTCCGCCTGGGTCGGAGCGCGACGAGAGTGGGACTTTGGACGAGGGCAGTCCATGATTGCATTATGAAGTACAGTATTCTGGTAGGTTTCTCAGTCCATCTATACTGGAAAGCACTCCTCAGCTATAATACAATTGAATACAAGTCTCGCTACCACCTGAGAAGCTGCTGCTTCCACCCCCCACAGCCGGTTGCTTCGTTGGGGTCCGGACGGTGGGGCTTTTGAAGGACAAACATCCACGAACCATCCGATAGTCTTGGACGTACTTCTAGTCTTTAGCGATCCAAGTACCTTCTCAGGTTTGGTATGACTGGACCCTCCTGGCACCTACATAACAGTGTCGAACACATCACCTTCTCAGAGGGTATGTGGATTTTTAGAGTAGGGTGGGAATAATCAGCTTTGCACTCCCTGAAGCAATCATGGGTTACGTGGACGTTGTTTATTTTCCGCGAGAGGAAGACCATTTTCCTCTACCACGAGGGAGTTGTCCACTTCCCTGATTGTTGCAGGGAGGGTATTTATCGCGACTGGTGAATATTCCGGCCATTTGTTGCTTGCAACACTGGAGTACGAAACGATTTTGGATGGCCACCATTGTTCGCGTACAGGTGCCACGTAGTGCTCTCTTCGAGCGTTATTTGGTGGATCTGCAACTTTTGAGATGATTTGAATCTTTAGCATATTCAGCGCAGCATACAGCGCTGTATATACAAGCTAAGATAGGCCTGTAAGGCCGGAACCGCTACATGCCAGCGAAGTGGATCACGACCCCCCCATATAACAAAGGATTTGGTCCTTTGAGCAAGTTCTTCCATGTTTGGGCCGGGCGTCCTTCCATTTTCGACCCAAACACTCCATGTGACTGAAACATTTACCTATGACCTCTTTTCAACCACCCCAATCTTTGTAAATCCACCAGTCCCATGGCGTATAGCTGGGCCCCCACCTGGCCGCCCGTTTGACCGACACGAGGTCCATGAGCATCCTGTCACGGACACTGGGTGCCATGCTGAGTCACACTGTCCCGCCCACACCGGAGGAGTCGAGCTGTGTGTAAAAAAGCGAAGCCGCCGGCGTGACGAGTTCCGGGTGGAAGGAGTGGGAGGTGTTGGACGTCGAGGATGCTTTGGGGGACGGAAGCGTTGGGCTGGTGAGGCGGAAGCGTTGGAGGGGCTATTTTGGGTTGAAAGTTACCCTGACAAAAAGAATCCTGGAAAGATCGTGTCCGAAGAAGCCAAAAGACACCCGGGGGTGTTCACTTCACTTCCCATGTTTGTTGGAGGGCACCTCAACCTGGTTCATCACAAAGCTTCCTTCAAGACGCCAGCGTTGGGCTTTGGCGTCGCCAGGTGGCCCGGGTGGGGAAGCGCGGGGAGCCGACAGCCACAAGCAAATCGCCATTGGCAGCAGCTGGAGTCAGAACATGCTAGAAGCATCCAGGAAAGTAATTAGCGGTTGGGTCATGGCACCTTGAGCAGTTGGGAACTGAACATGTTAGAAGCAATCCCTAAGAGCCTATTTTCACAGCAGTGTCATGGGTGGTTGGGTCATGGGATACCTTTGATGTTTGGCACGTCAGCTGGCCGATGACTCGTTGGAAAAAACGGGGCTTTTCGACTGTGAACATGCAAGTCCTGGACGAAACGTGCCGGGTGGGAATCCGAGACAAGACTCAATTCATAAAAAAACAAAAACACAGCTATACTATATCTGGAGGGATCTATGATGAGCATTTACTGAGAATATCTAAGAATATCATAAGCCGACTCGAACAGGATGGTTTGATGTTTCAGGCCGTGAAGAGGACTCAAAGGCCGTGGACTTTTTTTTGTTTTTCCGTGGGTCGAGCTGCTTTGTGATGATGGACGTGAAGTTCTCGGTGACCGAGAGGAACGAGGTGTTTGACGTTCCGGACATCGAGGTGTTGGACATGGCGGAGGAGGGCGGAGGATTCATGAGGTCCGGATTCATGGTTTGAGAATGTTTGAGAGAATCCAGGATGGGGAAATCAGAATCATGGCTACCTATACTGCTTGGTTGATTGAATTATAGGGGACCTTCTTGGTTGTTGTATATTTCGTAGAGCTAAGTCTGGGACGAAGTTGTACCGTATTTTGGCGCTCATCCGGCTCAAGAACGGACCATGAAAGACTTCTGAGGGAAGATCAGTTCAACAACAACCCAAGGAAGTAAAATCTGTTTCTTGTTATTTCACCCCTCGTGTGGGCAACACACCGGAACCCATCACCATCCACCCAACATGTACTGAGTATCATACTCATCAATCGGACCAATGCATTTCGATATGATCAGGGTCCCAGTCTCCATACACCTGCTACACTGCTTCACCTACTACGTCTCCTGCTACACGCCACGGTTCCGGCCATGTTTGTCCGGTCTCTCAGAACGGATTTAAAAAGATCTTTGTTGGGTCGCAGGACCTGGGGCCGACCCGTGGGGGAGTTTGGAAGGTCCTGGTGGTGGTCCTGCAGTTGTGCGTTCGGCTGAACAGCGCGACGGCTGCTGGATGGAAAGAACATGTTTAAACTAGGGTCTGTTAACATGTAAAAGACACGGCACATGTGAACATCCATGGGAACGAGGACTGTCCGGCGTTTGTCTATGATCCAGGGTGACCCTGGGATCGAGTCAGGTTGGTTTCTGAACATACCTGTCAAGAGTCACGAGTCACGCTCTGTCTAGAGGTCAGGAACTGAAGGTCCTGGTAGATTGGACACTGGATATCCTGTGATCAGTTTTAGCACTGTTTTAGCAGCACAGCAGATGTGTTGATCGCATCTGCCTTCATGAGATGTCTCCCGAACAAGTCTCCACATGGCATCGCTACTAGTAGCTTGCTCTTTTGCTACTAGTAGCTTCTTGCATAGTAGTAATGCCCCTGTTACAAGTAGCGATGCCGTTGTTACTAGTAGCTTGGCTCGAGATGAACCTTTAAGTGATTGAGACTCACCTGAGCCATTCGATAAACCTCCGTCTTCATGTTTAATCAGTGTGTTGTCATATCGAAGAAGTGCGTAAGCAAAACCTGCACGTGCGTAAGGTTGCGTAAGCTTTTTGTAAGGAAACCCTTTGCGTAAGCCATGCGTAAGCTTTGAATAAATACATGATAAATACATGAGCAACCCCTCTCAGAAGTGCTAGGACTAAGGAACAGTCCAACTCCACACATACATACACAATCCAAACTCGAATTGCTGGACACACACAGTCCAAACACCACAGCTGAACAGTCAAACCTCCATGTCAGACATGAGAAACACCAGGTGATTTTTGTGAGTTCCGGCGCGTAGGCTCCGCGTAAGCTCCGCGTAAGCTCCTGTGTCCTTTTCCACCAGTAGCCCACATGCCTCCTTCTCCGAAACCGTTGCGTCAGCGGCAGCGTGTGGTTGAAGACCTCTATATACAATGTGATTTGCGCGCATCGCCCTTCCACTTCCACTTCTCCATTTCCTGCTGCTGCTGCTGCTGCTGCAGGTCTGCTGCTGCTACTGCTGCTGGTGCTGCTGCTGCTTGCTTGCTTCTGCCTTCGAGCCTTCTTCTTCGTCCTCATCCTCAAATGCTTCTTCAGCATCCATATCCGAAGATTAGATGTAGTAACGGTAGTAACGTAGTAAATGTCCATTGTACAAAGTATGCAGCGCGTAAGCTCGCGTTGTGGTGTCAGCTGCATTTCGTGCAAAACAGGCGTCGCGTAAGGTCTGCGTAAGCCCTTCTTGCTCCAAGTGTACCGCGTAAGCAAACATGTGAGTCGCGTAAGGCAGCGTAAGCACAAGCGTAAGCCCAATGATACGGCATGGGATTTCATCAAGGTTTTCAGAAACGCTCACCTGATCTTTCGCAAACCCCACAACCTATCTCGCTTGCTTCCCACAGAACCCAATACAGAATCCTTCCAGAACCTGCCACCACCCCCACCTACCTGCTCTTCCGCACTCTGCACTCCTTCCGTCGCTTCTTCTCGACCCGAGGCGAAGTTCCCGGGGTCGTCGCCGGTGGACCTTGGGCGCGGCGCGACGCCGAACTCCTCTCCGCCCCTGACGAATCGCTCGGAGGAGAAGGACCGACCGCCGAAGGCGTCGCGACTCGCCGTCCGACTCGCCGTCCTGGTTCGGCGCGATTCCGGTTCCGCCGGTGGTGAACCGGGCGATCTGGGTTGGATGGCTATATATAGTGATCTACAATAATAAGTGTATTGCTTTACTGATCATGAGGTTATTTTTTACCAACATATACACCTCTACCGGGACACCCTAAGTCTGCACCTTTAGGGGTGTCTATTCAAAAAGCCCCTGAACGCCCGTGCTTCGGGGTGAATGGACGCACCACCCCTTGGGCCCCTTGAAGGTCCTGGTATAGACTGCTGAGTCTTCAGATGTGGTCAATCCACAAGCCGCCGGTTTGGGCCTTCGGACGGACCACTGGACCCTCCACCAGACCAGACTGTGGGGAGAGGGGGTGGTGGATTTCTGGGGTCGGTCTTCGTGCAGGTCAAAGATGGTCAAAGTTCCATACCTGGACCTTCATGTCGGGGTGTCCTGGGAGATCCCGGATGGTAGTGGGCTGGGGCGAAACCAGCCAGGTGACCTGAGGTGACCCCGACATGAAGGTGCTGGTATAGGTAACGGTTCTTCAAAAAGAGAAGTGAACTGGTGCATCGCCGAGTCATGCCGAGTCCGTGGGGCAGGAGGGCACCAAGCCGAGATTGGACCCCCCAAGAAGACCGGAGCAGGCGTGGAGGGTCGATATTGGGCTTGTCTCAGGATGGGCGGCCAAGCTGGTTTCAGCTCATGTTTGACGTCGATGAACGCGAAGATTGAGAGTTCTTTCCTCCAAACTTGGGGGGAAAGGATATGGACAGAAACTTGCCATGAGGTGCTGAGCTGAAATGTGCGGATGGACTCCATTGACCCTCCCAAACCTTTAAATATAAACTTTAAAATAGGGAAGGCTTTGTTGAGGGCAAGCACTTTGGAAGAGGAAAGCCGCTTTGATTTCTTATATAAAGACATGTGACATCATCCGACTAAATCCCTGATAAGTGTGTGGAATCCAACAATAGTTATACAGTATCTATCAGTATCTTAACATCGACTGGACGTGAAGCCCTTTTTTCTTTGGAAGAGTCGGACGTCGCCGGAAGTGAGCCTGGTGGTGTTCTCTTCGCCCTCGGCTGCCACACACGGGGCCGCGGCACACGCCCTCTCCGCCTGCATGGTGCCCAGTCGAATGGAGACACGGATACGGTGCAGTGCGGCCCAAACACCATGGACTTGTTGGGCGGCTTCTCCTGCACAGGCGTGGTGGGGACTGGTGAGGGCTCGGGGATCTCGGGGCGGCGGCGAGAGGAGGGCTCACCCCAAGTCTCTCCAGACATCGCCAGACTGATACTACGAGACTGAAGGTCGGACATTCACGGTGATTTTGGGGCGGCAAGTTCATGGACCATTTGCAGCTTGCAGTCCTGAATATTCATGGACCGTTTCTAGATGTTTCTAGATAGTTGTTCCACTTGTTTCTAACTTGGCAAGCTGGATTCGACCCAGTGTCATGTCGAGTTTGGGCCGCGAGCGGGCACCACATGTTGTGACGACACGTTGAAGCCGACCTTATCATGGTTTATAATGTTTTATGATAAATGGTTCTTTTCACAACCCATGATGAGCCGGTTTTGGCGGAAGAAGAGTTTGACAACTGCTAGCTGCTAGCGCCCCAGGGATCGAATGATTGAAGCACTTCTGAAGTCGAAATCGTCATGGAACTCGGGTTCCATCATCTTCTGAAATACCTTGGGAAGACCATGGAATTCTTCTCGCTAGTAGGTTGGAGGACATAGTAGGTTGGAGGCCATCGCTAGTAACGTAACGGAGACCATGAAAAATTCTTCCCGATGGACATTCCGCGCTGATTGCATGGGCATCGTTGAAAGCCCAGGTCACCTGAAAACGAACGTCGGAGAGCGAACGACGACCCCCCGGTCACCTCCATGGGATGGCCTACAGGTCACCACCCTGGCACCACCCCAAGTGATCATAGTGATCCGGCAGTCCTTGTAGGCAGCTTTAGGATGTTAACATATACTTATATCATATGTTAACTCATGGTTCGTTATATGGAGTGTTTGCGTTAATTTTCCAGGCCCCAACTGGAAGTTTTGGATGTGTCATGTTCTATGTTGAGAGACTTAAGGTCAATCTTGCTGGAGCCGATTGAACTTCCCTTCTTTCTGGAGGGTCCGGCATGGCCATGGGTGAAGTCATTCTGAAGTGCCGGCCGAGGTTACTGTTGTTGAAAACGCGTTGCAAGAGTTCTTTGACCCATCGAACTCTTTCACACTTATGATGTTCAGGACTCATGTGTGGCGAAGATGAGGTCTATGTTGTTCGTTCTTTTGCAGTTCCCATCTTCCTGATGGAAAACACCGCCGGTCTCAACATGAACCGCCGGACCACCGCCGGACCACCGTCTTCCGTCTCAGGTGGCCGACGGAAAGCCACCACGGACTCCTCGCTGGAGGAGGCCGATCGGGACGGTCGGAAGGGCGAGGCGAAGCGAGACCAGGGTGAGACACCCCAGATGAAGTGGAAGAGGTCGAGAGAGCAGCAGAGGTGGGTGAACCCGAACGTGAAAGACTATCCTAGATGTACCCCGCCCTGGTGACGGGTCCTAGTTCAGGTCACTTCACCTCTGTAGGAAACCAGGTGGCAAGACTCTTCCAGCTCAAAATGTGCTGGCAGACTCTTATTGTTTAGTGATATTTACAATTGCTCGAACGATGGAGAAGTGTTTCAATCCATGTTTGGGTTATTAATCAAGAGTCTAGACTGTCTATATTAAATGAACTTCCGAAAAGGCTCCACAACATTTTTCTCACAGCTGCCACATGGGCCTGATGATGGCCCTTTCTGTGCGCCTCCAAAGGCCTTTCTGGGTTCAGTGAAAGGCAGCAAGATCGGAGAGATGACACCATGTGTTGCACGCGGCCTCTACAGCGACTCAAGTCAATGTAGGCATTAACGACACCATATAAATGTTGTTTGAATCATATCCCAGACACGACCTGTCTGGGACTGCCATAGGACTGCCGCCCCATTTGCCCCTTTTCAACCACCCCAACTGATCGGCATTCATCATATATACGACATGGAGTGCCTGGGTATGATGGAATCAATCTTGTGCAAGGCAAGGATCCTGTGTTCCAGGGTACGGGTTCCCCCGTGCGAAAGATCGCTGTTTGATCGCGGTCACTGGCGGTCACTCGTTGGATCTTTCTTTCTTGGTCCAACATATTCCAAGGAAGAAAGGACTATTCGTGATCTTGCTTGTTCCAGATCAATCTTTCCTTTGCCCGCCCTTTTGAGCAACTTTTTAAATCAAGATGAGGTAGTGCGTTACCCATCTCTGTCTCAACCCGGATGTCGACGAAACAGCGGCAATGGGTCCTTCTTGCATGTGTGGCGGTGGCACGCGGCAGCGTCTGCTTTCCTGATGCCCTTCCTCCTGAGCAGCTGAAGCAGCTGAAACACCCTAATGGGGAAGAATACAACGTGGGAGTTTGGGTCAGTGATTGGTCCGCAGCGCATGTGGTGAGCCAGCTTGCCATCACACTGATCAAGGAGAAGTTGGGGTTTAACGTCTCCGATCCTTAGCTTGAATGGCGGGATGCGGTCCTTTCAACTTGCTCAAGGACCTCAATCCCAGACACGACTAATGGGACTGCCATAGCCGATCAGTTGGGGTGGTTGACTGTCTTTTTTTCGAACCATCGGCAGTCCTATGGCAGTCCCAGACAGGTCGTGTCTGGGAATTGCATGTCACGCCACTCGCGAATCCGTCGATGCGATGCCTGTGACGTCGCAGGTCGTTGGGCGCCGCGACGCACGCGGTGTCTCCAAACGGCCAGTCTGGAGGGGGCCAAGGGAGCCGAGTCGAAACGAGTCAACCACCGACAGCTTCCAAAACCGGGCCTCCAGTCGTAGCGAAGCGTTTCGTTTTGGGACAGGGGGCCCGCTTGCCAGGAGGGTCCAGTACCTTCTATGATTGGAGGTGTAGGATACCGATCCTTGAGGCGTGTGGGCCCTTCCCTCCATGTCAGACAAGACACAAAAACCATCGACCCATCACACCATTAATGTCCAGCAAAGACATCTCTTACTTATATAAGCCTTCCCACCACCAGAAACTGACCCCTCAGAACCAGCCGAGCCTCGCCTCCATCGCCTCCATCTCGGTGTGGGGTTCGGGACGTTCTCCGCCAGGAAGGCAAGGGTGCCGGCACACCGAATGCTGTCTATGCACTGACGGGCTGTCGCAGTCCCGGTCGCTGGGACGTCGACTCATGTCACGAAACCGGAGACTCTCCCGCCGGTTTCGTTCAAGTCACTATTCCATACATGGATGGTTAGTTTGGGTATAGTCAACTATAAGAGTCATTAATTAATTATATCAACTGATATGTTATATTCGATTCATGTAGTGTATGTACACGTCTATATATCTATTGGACCACAAAGACTTCAGGCATGGAACTTCATTTCGCGGATCGCATTGAGTTCAATTTGAGTTTCATTTCAATACCCAGACACCATATCCGGTGGTTCGATGCGGTTTGAGACGATGCAATGATGAATAAGGATACAGGATACAACTATTGGAGAAATCCTTGCATAGGGAGAGAGAGAGAGAGAGCATTTTAGTTTCTTCCTCTGTGGACCTGAGAAACGTGTTTGAAACGCGTGAAATAGCAGCTCGATCCTGCGTACCATGTAAGTGAACGGACCCCATCTGCTTCTAGAATCATCCAACACCAGACAATCCCAGATGTTGATCACTCCCAAAAACCATCCCAAAGCCTTCCTGTTTTGACCCACTGACTCTTGTTTCGCCATGTGGAACGCCCACACCGTTCCACACCCCGGTGATCTGGACACCTTTTTCGCCACGGCCGCGGAAACCAGGCAACCTCATGGAGCCACAATGTGATGCCGATACTCGGCCGCCGGGGTGTGGCCTTCCACGTCTGGGGCCGGGCGGGTCGGTCGAAGAGTTGAGTTGGAGAGATCGGCGGGGTCGTTGGCCACGGATGAATCCATGGCCCAAAGACGGGTGTTCCATGATGTGTTCCTCCTTCCCTCCATGGGTCATAGCTATATAGTACTTGCTTGCGCTTCACCTCAGGACATCACTTACTTTCACATCAACCTCGAGAGTTGGGTCGAGGACTATCCACAACTGTGGATGGACATGCAAAGCCGTTATCCCTTGATGGCACCCAAGAACCTTGGATTGATGGGCTATCATGGACGGACCAGCCGCTCGGACGAACGGACCAGCCGCTCCAGCGGCTTAAGCGATTCGGTTTTTAGGAATCGGTGTGGCTTTTGACGTTATACACAACTGAGCCATTGTAGCGTATTGTAGCGTTCAGTTCACCTTTTTTTTGATGTTCTCCAAAAGGTTCAGTTGACGTAATATGTTGCTTTATGCATCCTCCTTCCCATTTCCGCTACAGAATGGGGCCCCCCAAGGCCACTATAACAGGGTAACATTTTATAGTAGACCACGCCCTAACATTTTAAAACCCACCAGATTCTATAGTAAGTTGGTATGTTTTTCTTGTATGATCTTGGATATACTTGACTATTTGACATGTTTTGGTTTGCTTGATTTTCCAGAAATTTTGGATGCTGATGAACGCATCAGACTGATGTAATATATCTATTTGTTGGTATACTTATAAGTCATTCCCTGCAAGTCCGAAGTACTGGTTTAACGAGGTCATCCGAGAACGATCAAGTTTTACGAGGTCACCGCGTTTGTCGGAAGAAACGCCCTTTTGTCTCAACCACACTGGCGTCGCCGCCAGAGCCCACATAGATCCTGCACAAATCGATGAAAAAGCACTCAAAACAGTTACCAAACTCATTAAGTCACGGTACGTTACCTCCTGGAGTGATGTTGTATGGGAACCTTCACATGTTCACTGCATATTCTATAGTCCTAGCTGCGGTTCTTGGCTTAGCCGCTTGCCATCCAACTGCAAACTAGCTGCGGTTCTTGGCTTGGCCGCTTGCCACCCAAATTCAGAACAAAAAGAGGCTGCAGAATGAGTAAGCAACCTGAATGGTACTGTGCAATCAGAGAGCCAAACTGTCCTGCACATGCGTGCCTTTGCACACTTCAAGCGGAGCCTCGCAATCTTGGCCAGGAACTTTTCCATGTGTCTGCCAGAGATTGCACTTGACAGCTTCTTGATCATCCCGACGGTGTCTTCTTCTGAGAAGCAATGCGTGAACCTCGAGTTCAGTCCTGAGATGCTCAAATCCAGTGAGCAAAGAACAGGTTAAGTGACCCAAAAGACCACTGAAGCCTCTTCCCAAAAGACCAGTGAAGCCTCTTCAAATGGGCACCTTTGTGCATGAACCTGGAATTACCAGCTCAAACCACTCAAATCAAGTTCTCCTCTAGATTAAAGACCAGTCAATGTCATCCAAACACACACTCAGCCAAGAATCGCTCTCACTTGGTGCGAGCCAAAGCGTGGCAGAACATGTGTGCCTCTGGCTTCAGGAACCAGCACTGTAGCCCCATCCTGTCAACTGACTCAACAATGGCGAAGGGCCCTTGATGTCTCAAATGGCCCTTCAGGTCTCAAGGGGCCGTTGAAGTCTTTAAGATAAAGGGAAATTCGGTGCCCCCCTCAATGGAAGTCCTGTTGGCTATTTTGAGGCAGCCGATGTGGTGGTGCAGAAAGCGCTTCCCAGGGCTGTGGATGGCACCAGCCTGATCCTGTGTCCTGAGCACTTAAAATAATCTCTGATATGATTTCTACTTCGGGCTTCATTGATGCCTACATGTGTGCTCTTGAATCTTTGAAGACAATGCCCACCACATCCTACCACAGTTCTTGGCTTAGCCACCTGCCATTTGGCGTGCTTGAATGGAAATGAAATGAAAACCCAAAAAGGGCGCCCAATCGGTAAAAGAACATTGGAACTGAACATGTCCTGCCACCCCCCCACCACTTCACGCTATGGTGCAAGGTTCTGACGTGCGATGGTTGTCACCAACGATCTGTCAGAGGTCATACCCAAGCCGGCCTTCCACTCACGTGATATCTTCTGGTGCTCCTTAATTGCAATGACACCAAAACAGGCCACTGGCCCTACCAGCACTTTCCACCCTAGACCTCTTCAAAAGGGGCCAACCTGGTTGTGGGTGGGTCAGGGTCCAGAAGGGTCTGATAATTGTCGACCTGGTTGTGGGTGGGTCAGGGTCCAGAAGGGTCTGGTGGTGGTCTGGAAGATGGGTCTACCAGGGCCAATCCAGGACGGTCCGGACAATGGGTTTGGTGGAGATAGGAAGATCTTCACTCATGAGGATATGTCAAAAATATGGGAGTTGCAGGAGGGTAAGTGGTCTGCTGTAACACCAGGGAATGTGGTGGATCCAGTTGAGCTCACAAACTGTAAGGTCGCAAAACTCATTTGATCGGACCAGGTCATGGGGCTACTTGGCAA